TAAACTAGATTGCGAGCTATACCAACAAGAAACCGCCACGAACAACTCGACCAAATTTCTTATCCAAGAAAACACTACAATAGCTTTCGTCTCGATGATTTACTTCATGAATGCTGTGTTCAAAATGCACTTCACAGATTTAGTACGCTACAGCGTCGATCCATTGGTTGGTGTTGGCGTTGTGGCACTCCCACACCTGCGCCACGTGACTCGGGTTAGTCGGGTCGACGTCCAAGCACAAGTTGTTGTGCGTCGCGTGCTTGATCTTGTGGTTGGCCGCATCGATGATCCACTTTTGGTTGTCGTTGGTAGCGTCGCAGGCGTACGTGTGAAGACCAAACTTGTCGCCGTCACGGAAGGCATCGAGGCACTGGCCGTTGCTGGCCGCCTGGAGCGTCTTGGCGTTGGAGTCGTACGTAAAGAGCTCGTTGGCCGAGTCCGAGACCCAGTCGGCGTAAACGCCCGAATAGAATTCCGAGATGACCTTGTTGCTCTTGGTGATGAGCTTGACGTAGCTCTTCGCCTTGACGTTGTCGCACGCGTCGAAGTACTGGCTCACAGCGCTGGGCGAGCACGGGGCGACGCTGGGGCCGGCACCGAGCTTGGCGGCGTTGAAAGTCAAGCAAAAGCCCGACGCGGGGTGAACGATGCGCTTGGCGGCAGCGTCAAACTTCCAAATCTGCGTCTCGTCACCCTTGCACTTGGTGAGCGTCGCCGTGTTGGTGTTGGTTGTGTCCTTGGTGAGCGCCAGGCAAAACGAGTCTTCCTTGGGCGGCGCGTACGCTGCAATGAGGTTGCCGACGCGGTCAATCGTGAAGCCTTCGTTCTTGTTGTTCTTGATCGTGTCGATGTACAGGCCGTGGTTCCACTCGGAGAGGGCCGTCTTCTTGTACGTGCAAAAGTTCGTTTCGAGTGGCGCCGGCGGCGTCGTTCGGGGCACCGGCGTCGGTGTCGCAACCGATGCAAACTTGCCCCCGGCAAGGATCTTGGCGACATTGACGCGGCCGTAGCCGTACCGGTTGTTGGGCCACGTGGTGTCGTCGACGCCGCCGCAGTTGAAGGCACCGGGGTACACATCCGTGCCGTTGGACGTCTTGTTGGGCACGAGCCACTCCTTGGGCTCGCCCTCGAGCGTTCGGTCGGCGGTCTGCGTCAAATAGGCGTAAATCTCGTCGTACGTCAGGTCACGCTTGATCGACTTGAGGAGCGCGACGACACCCGCAACGTGCGGCGCCGCCATCGACGTACCCGCAAGGTACGCGAGTCCCGTGTCGCTGTTGTTGTAGGCTGAGAGCGTAAAGAAGCCGGGGGCCGAGACTGTCGGCTTGACGATCGTCTGCGGCACGTTGTGCGCGTCAATGTACTTGCCAGGGCCCTTGGACGAGAAGAACGCGAGCTTGTTGGGCTCGTTCGTGTACGAGCCAATGGCGCCGACCGAGATAACATTCGGGTACGTCCCGGGGCTACCCGTCGTCCCGCAAGCCGGGCCTTCGTTGCCGTTGGCAAAGATGGGCGTGATGCCGGCCTTGCGGATCGACGCAATGGCTTCTTCATACACTGGGTGGAAGGTCTTGCCGCCCCACGAGTTGTTGATGACGTCCGCGCCCTTGGAGCAGTCGGGATGCGT